AGTAAGGGGTGACAGGGACCAGGGCATCCTGTAAATTTCAGGTTCAACCTGATCAGAATTGTCCATTTGCTACTTTTTGCAAAGGCCCTTGCTATGATTCTTTTCATTTAACTGCTATCTTCAGCAATCTCTACAGCCTCTCCATTTAACATTGCAAAAATTCCTACACCATATATAAATTCCTAAACTACCTTGCTTGTTCACTTTGTAACTTGTTTCTGTCCTGTCTGTTTCTTTCATATTGCCCAGCTAATTTAGAAATTCCTGTCCTCTGTGTTGCTTTAATGTTCTAACAAAAGACACTTAATATTTCCATTAAAATTAAATTACTTACTCTAATTTCATCTTCCAGCCTGTTACTGCTTGATCAGTAATTGGTGGAACCTCATGATTTTGGTTCAAACGCAAAGTGGCTGATCCCCAGCAAAAACCCTTCAAACAAGTAAAGCAGATAATCAGCAGAATAGCTGTTCAATCTAACTTGGAATCTCACCAACTTCAATGAGTCAACAGTCAAGATGAAGAAACTTCACAAGCTAAACCACGAGATGGTTTGCAATTACTGTTATGACCCGGCTAAGGTTTTAACCATCGCACATACAAATGACCAAATTGAAATTATGGTCAAAGTTTCAAGTTTTTCTGCCGACCTAATGGCTCCAAGTTTCGTAAGTTTGAATTTCTGCCCTGTTGTAGACCTCAGGCAATTGTAGGTTTGTGCCAACACCATTTCTCAGGGACTGGGAGTGATACTTACAATGCATTGACAAACATTGTCCTTGAAGTATTCTATACAGATACTTTGACCAGTTTATTGCTCATAAAACACATTTATCCAGGTGCTCTTGCCGTATAAGACTCAGTTAATGAAACACTCGCAAGTTATAGAAATAATTCTTACACAACAAAATAAGTTAACTTCTTCTCAAACTAGGCTGACTGCCTGAAAAACACATATACTACCTGCTCTGGTGAACTCGATTGGGCTGCTGGATTGAATTCACTGAACACCATCAACAGGGCCTGGCATGAAGGTGGGTCTCACATGGAGCCTTCACTGGCCAAGTCTTCACTGAGTGAATGGCTACCAGGTGTCCCTTCTTATCCCCCGATTCTGAGCCCTTCTAGAATGTTTTCTAGCTTCAGCCATTGGGGTTACTGGGTAGGGGTTACAGGACCTGAAGGGGTTCAGCCAGGTCATCCTAGCTATACCCAACCCCTTTCCAAGATATGATTAATCCATGGTACTAAGGAGTCTGTCCAAAATGGGGGAAATCACAAGCATAATGTTCTGGCTGAGTACCTGTTAATGAATTTTGGATCACAATGATTCTCCCATTGTTGAGATTGAGCACCTCTGTTCAGTATTCAAGACAAGTCTGGACTGGACATTGTTGGCTTTTGATTTGTCATAACCTTGGCTTCTTTACATTCCATCAGGCCTTGCTTGTAGAAACTGTTTAGTCAATTTTATGTTGGGCCTAGTGGCTTAGGCCAGTGGCCAAAGGTATAACTTTAAAAACTGATTTTCAGCTGTTTCAATGCAGAACATGGAAAAAACCATCTTATGGGGAAAATCCATTTAGCTTCTGTTTGGATTTTGACTCGTGTTGCACAAACAGATGAATAGTACAGACAGTACCTGTAGTGATAGGTACAATTGCTCCAAAGGCTGGGTTGTCACATTCTCCCTGTAAACATGATAGCTTTTTTTTTCCCAATATAAATGGATGAAAATCACTGAGCTCTCAGGTCCACAATTTATTAGTCTAGGAATTTTGAAGCAGAACGCGTTCCACAAATGTTTACAGGAACATTGGAACATAGTACTCACAAGCAGGAGCAGGCTATTTGGCCCTTCAAGCTGGTTCTAACATTCCATAAGATCATGTTTGATTAGATTATGATCTTAACTCCACTCTCCTGTCTGCCTCCGTAATTTGTGACTCCCTTGTTCATCAAAGATCTATTCAACACTGCTTGAAAATATTCAGTGACCTTCCCTCACTCCTTTCAAGGGAAGGGAATTCCACATATTAATCCACCTATGAGAGAAAATCATTTAACTTCATATATTTGCCAAAAGGGTGTCCTATTATTCTTAAAGTGCATTCCTTAGTGTTTGTCTTCTCCACATGAGGAACCATTCTTCCCATATTCATCACATTAAATCCACTCAGGGACTTGTTAGTTTCAATAAGATCAGCTCTCAATCTTCTAAACTTCAAAGATAAGCTCTATAACTAAGGAATGAATCATGTGAATCTTTTTTGAACTGTTTCTAATGCAATTTTATCTGTTTTCACATTAGATCAAAACTATATATAGCACTCCAGATTTGATCTCTCCCAAGCCCAGTATGACTGCAGTAAACTTTCCTAAATTTATATTCCATTCCCCTTGTAATAAAGACCAGTAGGTGGAAGGATGTTGTGGAATATTATGAGCATAGAATTGCAAAGAACGTTCAAGCACAGAAACTGACCACATTTGTCCATGTTGGTGTCTATGTTTCATGCAAGCCCCTACTTTTCTTAACCATAGCACCATCATTTCTGTTCTCTCCTCCGTAAAATACATATCTAGCTGCCGTTAAATACATCTATACCTCCTCCTCACCTAATCCCTCTGTTAGTAATTCCACATTCTAACCATTCTCTGGTTAAGAAAACTTCTCCCAAATTCTGTATTGAAGTTATTGATGGCTATATGTTTTTAAAGAACAATGGAAGATTGTGCTTTGTCAGTACAAAAGAACACAAAAGGGCTTACTCAAACTTCTGAATGAGGACTGTTTAGTGACAAATACATCTGTTATAATGGGCAAATCCTCACTGCTGCCACTATCAATGTCTAAATTCTAAATTCAATATCAGTGTCTAAACCATCTGGGATACTTTGGCAAAATTCAAACCTTCTTATTGGTTCTAGTCTAAACTATAGATACCATATGAAAAAGGATGACACAACGTCTTTGCAAAAGGCAGGCTTAAACTTGATGAACAGGAAAGATTTATTAAATTAAATGATATCCTCTTGTGAGACATTGGGCTCAACTTAAGTGCAAGTACATATTACTGTTAGCTACATAGACTTAGCACTAGAACAAGTCAAATCAAACACTGGACACTCTCTAAATACACTGGTACAACTTTGGTCTGGACACTGATTAGCTCCTCTCAGGTACTGTCTTTATTCTCAATAAAGGCAAAATACTATAGATGCTGGAGACCTGAAACAAACACAGGTCACTGGAGAAACTCAGCAGGTCTGGTAGCATCTGTGGAGAGTGAAATAGAGGTAATGTTTCAAATCTGGTATGACTCTTTATTAGAATGGAATAAGATCCCTATTATTCTTAAACTGTGTCTTCTAGTTCTTGTCTTCTCCATAAGAGGAACTATCATCCAGGTATCCGTCCATTAAGTCCCCATGGGAACTTATATTTTGTAATTAGGCAAGCTTTCATTCTTCTCAATTTCAACAGGTATAAGCCTAACTTTTTCAACCTTTCTTCAGAAGATAAGCTGGTCCTAATAAGCAGACGTTTTTTCATGACATCAGTTAACCCTTTTAGATACTAATTGCCTTATATAACCATACCTTTTTATTTGAAATGATATCTACTTTGTTGACTCTGTGTCTTGTAAAAACCATTGACTGTAGATTTTGCTTCTTGAACATGGGCTTTTAGCTGAAGTATTCAGAAATCGAAGCTCTGCTGCACTTTTTTGTACATTTCTGGACAACTGTTTTCCAAGTCATCAGCAAAAGAAAAATTGAACCGGTTGGGTAGAGTGTTTGACAGCTAGAAATGCAATCCACAGCTGTGTTTCTGTTTTCTATTATTAGACACAATTCCAAAGATAGCATTTTAATTTTCGTGGGATTGAGATTTTTCCATTTTTATATGTTACGCACTTTCAAGAGGCACATTGCAAGCTCTCAGTTAATATCAGAACTGCTATTTTGCCCATTTGCTGGAGTGAAGAACTTTCATTAGTATTTAAATTCTTTGAAGTGTGTTCATTGATTTAATGCATATTATTGGTGCTTCTATTTTCATGACAAACTAATTAATTAAGCAGAGAATTTCTTGTGGTATTTTACAACCCCGAGTAACACAGGGATGGAGATAATTATTGGCAGGTCTGACAGTTAAATCTTTCAAAACCAGCAGTAGCAAATTAGGGGGAAAAGAAAGAAATCAACATTTAAGCCGTCTCTTCAGGCAGTATTACTCTGTCAGAAAGCTGTGTAATGGAATACTTTCTTTTCCAATCCTTTCCAGTGCTGTCTCGAAAAGATAGCTATCTATTAAAACTCTTATGTCTGAGCACGCTTCTCATCATTTTCCACCGATATAAATTCTGCATTTATTATAGAAATCACTAAAGTCAACTTCTAATGAAGCCCTTTATCCAGTAAAGAAACTGCAGAATCACCATTGAAATGGGCATATAATTATATTGGGATAAATAATTCTCTTTGATTATAAATTGAAATAATATCTCTGTAAAAATAAGGATACAATAATATAGAACTCACAGCTCAGGCCATTTGGCCCAACTGATCTAAGGTGATATTCCTTCCATTCTACTTTATTGCACCCTGTCTCTCAATCATACTATTTTCTTTTATCACGTAGAAGCCTTCCCAGTAAAAACAATTAAGGGCATTAATGGTATCTACTTCAATCATTCCAAATGGCTATGAATTCCACATCCTCACCTCTCATTTTCTAAAAGGATTCCTTGTACTTTTTTAGTTGATGTTGGCGCCTATCTTGAAATTATGTCCTGTTGTTCTGTTCACCCACAAGCAGAAGCTATTTATCCTCATCAAATCTGATGCACCCGTTCATTATTATAAGGACCTCTGTCAAGTTTCCTCTTAGCTTTATCTTTTCTAAAGGAAAATTTACTGCTTTGTGCATGCATGTTTCTTTGGGAAATTGCTGAGAATCATCTAGTTATAAATCATTTATGTTTATTTTGCAGCCTGTCAGCCTTTGCTTAGTGGTAAAGATCTGACTTGAGTCAGAAAGTGGATTCAGGTTCCACTTTAGAAATCAACCTGACACTTCAGTGCATGAACTGTGGGAGGAATGCTGCCTTTCAGGTGAGACACAAACATTGAAACCCTATCTGTTCTATTTTAATAGCTGTAATAAATGCACAACAGAGCAAGGGAGTTCAGTACTGACTAACCCTTCTGCACTGACTCCTCAGTAAACATTATTAAGAAGCAAAGAACCTGATCAGTCACGTAA